TCATTTCCAGGGTTTATTTTAGAATACCAGTTGGTTTAGTACAAAGGCTGTAAGCCATTATTTCTTGTTGACAAAACAGGAATACTATTGCCTTTCACAAAATTTAAATCAAACGTTTTAACTTATTAAAATGCATATTGACTTAAAATAAGAATTCTTACAGAATGTTTCCTCTTGACACTTCCTTTTAAAGACGATATACTATTTAAGCTTCTTTTTCTTAAAAAACTTTTTACTCAAGAAATTATCCATTGTAAAAAGAATTTTACATTACAAAAAAATTCTCACTGCAAATTCTAGTGTAAAAGACATTTTCTCTATAAAAAGGTAGAAAATCCTGATAAAAATTTTAAATCACCAGTACTTGCATTATTATATAATTACTGATTTAAAGAATTTATATTCTATGCCTATTCATACTTTTTAAATACATATATACTTTTTTCTTTTTTATTGTGGTAAAATATACCTGACTTAGAATTTACCATCGTAACCATTTTAAGTGTACATTTCAGTGGTATTAAATACATTCATAATGTTGTGCAGCCATCATTACCATCCATTTCCATAATTCTTTTCATCTTGTAAAACTGAAACCTACATACATTAAATGTTAACTCTGCATTCTCCCTTCTCTCCATTCCCTGGCAAACACCATTCCACCTTCTGTTTCTATGACTTTGACCACTCACAATACCTAACATAAGTAGAATCAAACAGTACTTGTTTTTTGTGTGATTGGCTTATTTTACATAGCATAGCAAAGTTCATCCATGTTGGAGCATATGTCAGAATTTCCTTCCTTTTTAAGACTGAATAATATTCCATTGCATGTAAATATAATATTTTGCTTATCTGTTCATCTGTTGATGGGCATTTATGTTGCTTAAAACTTTTAGCTACTGTGAATAATGCTGCTAAGAACATGGGTGTACAAATAACTCTTCAAGACTGCTTTCAATTCTTTTGGGTATACACCAACATGTGGAAATTGCTGGATCATATGGTAATTCTGTTTTCAAGCTTTTGAGGAACCACCACACTGTTTTCCACAGTGGCCATGCCATTTTACATTCCCACCAACAGGGCACAAGGGTTTCAATTACTCCACATCCTTGTCAACATTTATTTTCTGGTGTTTTTTCCCCCCCAACAGTAGCCATCCTAATGGGTGTGAGGTGGTATTTCATTGTCGTTTTGATTTGCATTTTCCCAATGATTAGTGATGTTGAGGAGCATCTTTTCGTGTGCTTATTTGGCCTTTTGTATACTTATGGAATTATATATATACTATTATAATCCTCCAAGTACTTAGTTCTTTCATGGATACTATTGGTTGCTTCTAAAGGCTGAATATTTGTGTCTTTGTCCCTCCCCACCAAATTCATATGTTGAAACCTAATACCCAATGTGATAGTATTTGGAGGTAAAGCATTTGGGAGGTGATTAGGTCATGAGGGTGGAGTCCTCATGAACAGTATGAATGCCCTTTTAAAAAAGGTTGCAGAGAGCCCCCACACAACTCCCACCATGTAAGGTTACAGTGAAAAGACTACTGTCTATGAATATGGAAGTCTGCCCTCACCAGACACCAAATCTGCCAGTGTCTATCTTGGACTTCTCAGACCCCAGAATTGGGAAATAAATTTCTGTTGTTTACAAGTCACTTGGTTTATAGTATTTTGTTATAGCAGCCCAAATGGACTAAGACAGTTGTCCATGCCCTCTCCTTCCTTCTAACACTTTATTTTTAGTTTAGGGGCCCATTCTCTGAGTACTTAAGGAGAAGCTGAACCTATTCATAGCTGTAGTAGGTTCTGAGAGATCGAAACCAATAATGATAATCTCATTCCACTTGTCAGCGTTTAGTTAGGAATATAGGCTTAAAATAATGAGCTTAGGGCATGGTTTCTCAGCCTTGATATTACTTTGAGACAGATAACTCTCTGTTGTGGGGGATAAGTATACTGTATATTGTAGAATATATAGCAGCATTCCTGGTCTCTACCCACTAGATGCCATTAGACCCCACCCCCACAGTTGTAACAATCAAGGAAGTATTCAGACACTACCAAATATCACCTCTTCCCCACCATCAAAATGGTGACTATTATTGAGCCAGGGATAGGTACATGACCCAAGTTAGTCCAACCTGATTGAAAGACAGACTTTGGTTGGGAGTAACCACTCTCTAAACTTACCATGGACAAAGAAGGAAGTTCCCCAGTTACTGCTGGCAGGTTTCTTGTGACCACAGACTTTGGAAGTTTATAAGGAGATGAGGGCAAACTTGAAAAAAAAATAGAAAAAATATAAATAAATGGTCATTCTCCAAACTTAGGAAAAGAAAACCAATTTGTGCCAAGCCATGATTCTCTCTTACTTAGAGGCAACCATACTTCTAGAACTGCACTGTCCAATACAGTAACCACCAGCCACATGGCCACTTGAAATGTGGCTAGTCCAAACTGAGATGTACTGTAAGTGTAAAATACGCACCAGATTTTGAAGAATTAGTACAAAATAAGAATGTAAAATATATCACTCACAATTTCTATATTGGTTATATGTTGAAATGCTATTTTTGATGCTTAGATTAAATAAAATGGCATTGAAATTAATTTCACTTGTTTCTTTTTGCCATTTTAATGTGGCTACTAGATAATTTAATACACCATATTTGGCTTTCATCGGAGGTTCACATTAAATTTTTATTGGACAGAGCTGCTATAGACTGCCTGGTTTTTCAGATAATTGATTTTCTTATTGTTTATATCAGTGTAAATTAGGTTGGTCTTTTTCTTCTCACAAAAAACATCATACTTGATATCGAAGACTATGTGTTAAATTCAAAAGCAGACAATATGTTTCAGGATTGAAGGAGGCAGATACCTTAGGGGATACTTCAGTTAATCCTTTTAATTATCTCTGACCATCTTCCATTTAAAGGTTTGCTAACTAAAATACTTAATAATTTTGGCAAATAAGAATTGCATAGAATTTAAGTTACTTTCTCTGATGAGGATATTGGAGCATAAAAAAACCAACTCAGGCAATTGAAATGCAAAGCAATATATGGATTATTTTCCATATATAAGTATAACCTCACATTTTGTATAGTTAAATAAAGCATTATGCAGAGGATAGCATGTTAAAACTCACATCTATCAAATAAGTAAAATCAGGTATAATTAAGGGAGAAGCACAATAAAATTTTTATCTTTGAAAAGAGAAAATAGATCATACTGGAAATTATAGATAAATCAGCTAACTTTCTTCAACACATTATAGAACAAAGAGAATTAATGTACAGTTATCTTAAGGAGCATAATTTCAACTTCAAACTTAACATAAAAAAAACCCAAACTGGTGACAGGCCATTTTCATTTCCTCCCATAATACACAGTCTACCTAAACCAAAGAGGACACATTCACACACACTATTAGCAAACCTCTCTGCTCCTAACAATTAGTACTGTCCTTGACTAGAGAGGAAATGTATATGAAGTGACTCTATCTCATTTTAAAGTAACATAGAATGTATTTTCTCTCACAGATTATTATAGGGGTTAGACTTATATTTATGTTCCTTCTAGATGGGTCAGTTGGTTCATTCAAACTTTTTTTTGAACATCTCCCATGTTTTGGTACTAGGTACTGGGACATGATGAAAGGGACAGAAGACTCCTCATTATCATGGAGCTTCCAATCTGGGTGAGGGAGAAAATAAGTACATAAAGAAATAAAGTGAATTTTGGAAACGTTAATTACATTTTAAGAGCTTTCTCTTGAATTTAGATGTAGTTGTCAATATTTTAGAGAATAGAAATTAAATTTTTAATGACCTCGGTGCTCTACCAAACTGACCCCATTAAAAAAATAAATGGAAATAAGTAGAAATAAGTGGAAATTGTTGCATAATTAGTGGATTACATAATACATAATTGTATTTTTACATAATTATGTAAAAATAATTACATATTTTTTTGTGGATTGGCTTAAATACTACAGGTACATGTTGATGAATACTCGATTATATACAGAAGAGACAAGCAGAAAACAGTAATCAAAACAGTAGAAGTGGAATGAACAAAAATCCTAACAAATTTAAAAATTACTGGCAGGTGAGTGGCAGGGAAGTAATACTTCAATTGTATTCTACCTCAAGCTGACCATTTGTCTGTCAGGCAACTCTGTCTTAATCAAACATTTGCCTCTAGAAGAACACTTACTTCTTTGTTTACACTTATATCTACATCAAACATATTAAAAAGAGGAATCACCCTTGTTCCCTTGAGGTTCTTCAGAACAGAAACAGACCCTGAGGCACGGGTCCACGCCAGTCATTTTCATAACCAACGTTATGACTTAGAATTATACTGTGGGCAGCACGTCCTCCTCACGCCACTGATCTGGGCACTTGGAAATGCACTGCATGGTTAATTATAACTGTATATGCCCTGGAGAGCATCCGAGATGTTAACAGAAGCAGAGAAGCTTCCCGCAAGGATGCCCTGTGTGCGACAAGCACCCGGAAGCCGAGGAGCTGCCCGGCCCCACGGCGATCCAGTCAAAGTTCTGGCTCACGGCGGGCGAGGGGCGGGGGCGGGAGGGTCCAGGTCTTCCCCAGAACCCTGTCCAAATACATATTTCCAAACCAATAGCTCTTTAAGAAGTTATTCCCATCGCGTACAGCCAAGTCCTCGCGAGAAGACAGTCTGACGCCGGCTAGCGTAATTGCGTGTTGCGCCTGCGCGCTCTCAGGCAGCCCGCACTTCCGCCTGAGTCGTGCTGTCACTCACAGCCGTCTCCCGCCCCGCCCGGTGACGTGGCACTTTCTTTTCTGCTTGGTGTGCAAGCCCCGGACGGAGGTGTGTGGAGCTGCGGAGCTGCCCAGTCTGGCGCTCAGAGCTGCGATTCTCGGCGAGATTTCGCGCTGGCCGCGCTCGGCCATTTCACTGGTAATCAGTCCCGGGTTGCTTTGCCGAGTCGGGAAGAACAAAGGAATCAGGAAAGAGACTGTCGGCTCCCGGCCGCCTTGCTCCGAGAGGCTTCCAGTCCGGAGGAGCTGGATTTACAATCGTCACTGGATTGTAAGTATCCGAGGCGAAGAGAGATCACTGCGCCCCGCTTTTTGACTATCTTTGATCCGGGGAAGTTTGTGGATTGGGAGTGTGTGCTGGGGCATTAACTTTCTGTGCTGCAAATCATTCTGAAAAGCCACCATTTGCTTTCCTGCTCGCTAGCTCCCTGCATTGTCCTGCAGCGGCATCTAGAGGTTGGAACTTGGCATTGCAGCTCATATATTTAAATGGACCTAACTGAGCAAGCCAGTGTCAGTAACAACTGGTATTCAGAAACAGCATATTTAAAGACTTGGTGCTTAATTCAAAATTAAGAAAAATAGACGCTTAGCTGCTGTACTACTTAAATATTTCAATTCGTAACAAACTGGTCTAACTGTTGCAGTAGCTGGAACTTTTTAGTGCAACAAGTGGTTATTAGAGAAGTGAGTCACAAAGAAAGATGAGTAAGAGCAAGGATGATGCTCCTCACGAACTAGAGAGCCAGTTCATCTTACGTCTGCCTCCGGAATATGCCTCTACTGTGAGGCGGGCAGTACAGTCTGGCCATGTCAATCTGAAGGACAGACTGACAATAGAGTTGCACCCGGATGGGCGCCACGGAATCGTCAGAGTGGATCGGGTCCCACTGGCCGCAAAACTGGTAGATTTGCCGTGTGTGATGGAAAGTTTGAAAACCATTGATAAAAAGACTTTTTACAAGACAGCCGATATCTGTCAGATGCTTGTCTCCACAGTTGACGGCGATCTCTACCCTCCAGTGGAGGAACCAGTTGCTGCCGCTGCGGCTGCTGCAGCTGCTGCAGCTGATCCCAAAGCAAGCAAAAAAAAGGACAAGGACAAAGAGAAGAAGTTTATATGGAACCATGGAATCACCCTGCCTCTAAAAAATGTCAGGAAGAGAAGGTTCCGGAAGACAGCGAAGAAGAAATATATCGAATCTCCGGACGTGGAGAAGGAAGTGAAGCGTTTGCTGAGTACAGATGCCGAAGCTGTCAGTACTCGTTGGGAAATAATCGCTGAGGATGAAACAAAAGAAACAGAAAATCAAGGCCTCGATATCTCTTCTCCAGGAATGTCAGGCCACAGGCAGGGCCACGACTCGTTAGAACATGATGAGCTCCGGGAGATATTCAATGACCTCAGCAGCAGCAGTGAAGATGAGGATGAGGCCCAGCATCAAGATGAGGAAGATATAAACATCATGGACACAGAGGAAGATCTGGAAAGACAGCTACAGGACAAGCTGAATACATCAGATGAACAGCACCCAGAAAATGAGGGAACCAATCAGCTGGTGATGGGAATTCAGAAACAGATCGATAACATGAAAGGAAAGCTCCAGGAGACCCAGGACAGGGCAAAGCGACAGGAAGATCTCATCATGAAAGTGGAAAACCTGGCTCTCAAAAACAGATTTCAGGCTGTGCTGGATGAACTCAAACAAAAGGAAGACCGGGAAAAGGAGCAGCTCAGCTCCTTGCAAGAAGAGCTAGAATCACTTCTAGAAAAGTAAGAAGAGTTTTGATGCTTAATTTCATCCCATAGAGTGGTCAGCATTAGAAGAAAGTTTTTGGCTTCATCACCTGGACTAGATATAACTTTGCAGTAATTGCCATTTCCTCTGCTGCTTTTTACTGAATTTGTCTTATAGACAACTATAAATGTGAATTTCTATTTCATTTGTCTCTCAGAATTTTGCTAGGTGTTTATCCTGTAGGAAGTAGGAATGTATGATAGATAAATGTAGGAAAGTTGTAAGATTAGTGGAATGAACAGTTCAACCTTAGTAATCACAACTTCACTGCAGGACTTTGCTGCTATTTTTCCATTTGCCAAAAGCTGCTATTGCTAGTCTGTGGTGCCATCTGAGGTCAATAAGAAGAGTAGTCTAGAGCAGTGAAGCTAGTTTATATTTTCCCATGCAGTGCCTAATTTTTTCCCCATGCAGTGGCTAATTTTCAAGCTTTTTTTCTATATGTAGGGTTGCAAATCATTTTATACAGTTGTTTTAACAATAAATAAAAACTAGTTTTCACCTCATAATGTGTCTTGCTCTTTTAGGGGTAGTGGGTGTTGGATCCTCTTGTGAGGTGGTTTGCTGGTGGGGTTTAACAACTGAGCAATTTGATCCTGTTTTGTAGGGAAAGAAGCAGTTATGTGGGGTTTTAAGGAAAAGATAAACACAGTAGGTGCAAACAAATTGAGAAATGTCATCTTTGTATTCTGTTAAGTTTCTAATCCATCTGCTCCACTTGGAGGTTAAGAAACACTAGGTACAAAACCTTCCTAAACTACCCTAATTTTTGTACATGAAGGTCTTTTTTATGCTTTGTGTGTGTTGTTTGTTTTTAAAAATATGTTGTTACTGATTTTTAGAGAGAAAGGAAGGGAGAAAGAAACATTAATCAGCTGCCTCCTGCATGCCCCCCCCACTAGGGATCAAGTGAAACGCAGGCACGGGCCCTGACCAGGAATCAAACTGGTGACCCTTTGATGCACTGGACCATGTCCAACCAGCAGCCACATTGGCCAGGGCACTTTGTGTGATTTTTAAAAGCGCTACACTCATCTGCTTAATATATTAGAAACAAAACAAAGGGAGGGCTTTCAGGTACTGTTGAAGGAATCATTTCATTGTGTTGGATTAAGATTATATTTCTAAATATTGTCAACTTAATTTCTGTAATTTAATAATCTGACAGCCAAGGTGATTTGTCCATGTCAGTTCATCAAAGTTGCTCATAAAGGAAGTCAATACATAGTCTGATACTTCAAAATTTCTTAAACATAATTTTCATATTTTTTATATGTGCTTAAGATTCTAATCTAATGCCTCACACTTGAGCTATTTGGAAGAATCAGTGTTAAAATTTACAAAATGCAGAGTTGCCTGCAATTCATTTCTGATAGTTTATAAAGAAAATCTTTGGTTTGAAAATATTAGCCTCCTGAAGCAAAATTTAAAGCCCATTTTAGTTGGGTATTTGACAAGAAACTGGTGAAATGGTAAATAAGTTTTCTAGACTTCTCTAGTCTACAGTCATACATGCAGATATTTGGAGACCTCACAAGGATGATTTTTCTCTCATGTTATCTGATCATTTTTCTTTTACTAAAATGTTTTCATAATTTTGAGATTTCAGTGTAGAATATGGATGCTTAAGTACGGTTTCTCTCAGTATCTAGGTTTTGGATTATTTCTTAAGGTTTGCAAATAATAAGAGGCAAGTTTTCTTAATACATCAGTGTGGTTGGTAACAAATTCTCCTGTTTTAGTACATTGGATATTTTGCTATAAGACTGACACCTGAAAAGCTCTCACTTTATTTGGCTTTACAGTAGATCATTTATCAAAACAACTTATTCCTATGAAGACCTTACCACTAGTGATGGTTTGTTTCTATTAATAATGGGAAGGAGAGATGCTGCTTGCAAAAAACAAAAAGTGATTTCATTACCCCCATTTCAGTTGTAAGCTCTGCTGATTTTCAAATCCATATTTCTAAGCCTGATGTCTTCTGAACTTTAGATTTAATATAGTCAGCTGTGTACTGGAAACACTCATAAGTGTTCCCTCAGGCAATTCAACTTGACATGTTCAAAATGGAGCTCATTATTTCTTCCTTTTCTTGAAAGCCTACTCTTCCTCCTGTGTTTCATGACTCAGTAAAATTAAATGGCACTACCACCCATCCCAGTTGCTGAAGCCAGAAATTTAACCCATAATCTTTGACTACTCCCTCTTACTACTGATTGTACTTTCCAAAAAGCTCTTCAGCCACTCCATTCCCACTGCTACTGTCCTAATATAAACCATTATTATCCTTTGCCTAGCAAATGGCAGTAGTAGCTTCCTAACTGTGTGTGTGTGTTTACGTAAGTTCATCATCCAACTTAAGTTTTTTGACCTGGCCACCAAAGTGATGTTTCCAGGATATATTTGATCATGTCACTCCCGTGCTTAAAACCATTCAGTGGTTCATCATTATTTCAGGCTTAAGTTTATATTTTTTAAAAGGATACACAAGATTATGAGTGCTCCAATTACCTTTTCAGCCTCATCTCACCATATCCTTTCACTGTTTTCAACTCCTCCTGAGCTTATTTACATTTTCCCAAGGAGTTTAATTATACTCCTCTTCCTCTCCTGAGCCTTAGAGCCTTTTAACAAGCTTTTCACTCTGCCTAGAACACTCTCCCCTTTATTTGGCCACATCCTACTTAACCCTCAGTCTCAACCTGAGTGTCACTGACTCCAGCAGGTCTCTTTATGTTTTGGTTAATCCTCACCTGAGGATATTTTTTCCATTGCTTTTCAGAGAGAGTGGAAGGGAGGGGGGCGTAGAGAGAGATAGACAATGATTGGTTGCCTCCCTAGGCCCCAACCAGGGCCAGGGAATGAACCTGCAGCCCAGGTACATGCCCTTGACTGGGAATAGAACTTGTGGGCCTTTGGTGCTAGGGCGATGCTCTAACCATTGAGCCACAGCAGCGAGGGACAGCAAGTCTTTCTTCATCTCCATCTAGGTTAAGCAATTCTATCATGGCTTTGCCTATACTCTGTGTTTCCCTCTTATTCAACAAATATTTATTGTGCGAAGCAATACCAGACACTGTATATGAAGTCCTGAACTAAACATTTAGTGTCTATAATCTCTTGCACTCTATATTAGTCTACTGGGATAAATGATCTGCTATGTGCTTATCACACTAAAATATAAGTTACTGTTGCTCATACGCCCCACTAGGCTGTAAATTCACTGAGCAGGCACTTTGGCTTTGTTAGTCACTAAACTTATTAAATAGTAAAGAAATTAAAATCTCAAGGTCAGGAGATATAGTACCTAGGTCTGTATCCTAGCTCAGTGACCTATTGTATTGTCTTGGGCAAGTAACAGTCTGTTTGTTTCAATTTTCTAAAATGGAGGTGATAATATTACCTACCTCAGGGCTGTTTAGTTATTGGCTGTTGGCTATTGAGTTGATACATATAAAGGACTTAGAACAATGCCTGGAATATAGTAAACAATAAAAAGAAAACTATTATTGCCTATTTACTAAGGCCTGAACATAACGGATTAAATAATTAGTTGACTTAAAGAATTATCAAAATAGTAGAAAAATGTATAAAGAAACAGCTGTTTAAAATGTGATTGACTGGTTTCAAATTAAAGGCTCTAAATCAAAGTTTATAAATTAGAGCAGAAAAAAGGTTTGCTTCAAATATATCTGCAGCATAAATAAGCTGACTCAACTTATTGTAACTTTATTGTTTTATATTTTATTTATGGCTTAGCTTTGCATTAATATTAATTACTCCACAATGAAGAGTAATTATCTGTTACATAAGCTTCAACAAAAGAAAGATTTAACCAAAGAAGATTGGGATCCGCTTCCCTTTAAATAAATCCAAAGTTATCAAAAAAAGATCCACTTTCTCATAGCTCCCTTGGCTAATGAGTGTGGATGTGGTTGGGCTACAGTTTTCAGTATTTCTAGGTTCACGAACAAAAGTTATGAAGAAATTTTTTAAAATTAATGTTTTAAAATATTACAGAAATAAAAAAGACTCACAGAAAAAATTTAAACAATGCAGAAATTTTACAAAAAATAAAAAGTCCCTTTCACCTTAACTTTCTAGGGTAAACTTAACATTTTGATATGTATCATTCTAGGTCTTTATTTGGTTATATAATTAATTACATACATATATGTAGTTCTATAAAGCAAAGAAAAATATATGATTCTGTTAGAGACATGATTCTAAACATTTTCTCACTCAAAAATACATTATGAGTATCCTTATCAGCTTGTATAGATCTCCCCCGCCCAGTGATATAGATATTTTCTTAATTTTATCCACTCCCCTATGGCTGGTCACTTAGGTTGTTCCATTTTAAATGTGCTATTACACAGAATGCTGCAATAAACATTCAGGCCAATATGGCCTCTGTTTTGTATCATATCTATAGATTAGGTAAATGGAATCAGTATTCAGTTTTAAATGTCATGAAGCCTAACATTTCAAATCTAGAGATCAAATGTTTGAGATGAAAAATTTGGATAAATTGTAACAATTCGTGTCTCTGAAGGACTGTGTCTTAAACTCTGGTTTTTATCTTTTATTATCCAGTAAGAACTCTATGTGAAAATATAGACAAAGGCTGCTCACCAGTTAGAAGCCATACAGCCTTCTTTCTGTACCTCAAATGTCCCACCACAGAGCTTTATTTAGCACTTACATTTCCCCTTTCCTAGAACAGTCTCCAGATATTTTCATGGCCAGCTTTTTTTGTCATTCAGGCCTCAGCTCAAACCTCACTTTCTCTAGTGGTCCTATCTGGCCTCTCAGTCTAATTGCTAGGGAACATGTGATTTGGCTAGGCATTCTCCAAGAAAAGCCCAGGTCACACTGTCTACGACAATAAAACCTATCTGTTGACTAACTCTACCCATACACGGTCTTCTTTTTCTCAAGAATCTTCACTGAAAAGTTGGGAGTTCCTTTGCCATTATTTTCTGATATGTATGCTTGGAAGGACATGTGCTTAAAATTGAAACAGGAACATCATCATTTTGGTTAGTTAGAATCAGGAAAAAATAGTTTCTAAGATTGCTTATTGTCTTGAGCAGTGTTTAATGTATGCTGGGGTCTGTTCTCTCCAAGTACAGCTGTTTAGTGGAACTTGATCTCCATCTCTACTATTTGTGCATCAGCTGTATCTGACAATTCAATGAGGATACAGACCATTTCCCTATTAATGCCCTTTTGATCCCTGGCCTTTACTAATTTGGTTTCTCCAAAACATATATGAACTTAATGCAAAAGCAGTTGATGATTTATTGGAGTAGACTGCATCTCTTGTGTTTGTAAAAACTCGGTGTGTTTTTAAAAACAATGAACCAGATATAATTAACTTAAAACCAGTGGTCATTATTAAAATATTTAATGTGCTTCTGGATAACTTGAGAGGGCCTCCACAATAAATATTAAAATATACCTTTTTCTCCCTGTCTTTCTTGAGGGTCATATCAAAACATTAAGACATCCCTCAAATATGACATGAAGGATTTATAAATCTTTTTCTAGTCTAAATTGGCAGATTGTTCTTACATATCTCTTCTTTATCAAAACTCCTGCCAAATAACAGTAACCCCAAAGTTAAGAGAATAAGAGATGAGACATCAAATTATAGATGTCAAACCATTTTCAGAAGGCCAAAGCAAATGAATAAATGATAAATTAATTGAGAGATCAGAGAATGTCACATGCTAAATGTCTGCAACAGGGTATACCAAAGAGAAACAAACCCACTTGATGTAGAACCTGTGAGGCTCAATTTTTGCAGGCAGAAGTATACACGGAAGGGGGAAAGGCATGAGGCTGGAAACTTGTGATTCACTAAAGTCTGTGCTCAGAGCTGTTGGATATCCAAGATCCCTATCACACCCTAGGGATCTAGGTGACTCTTCCTTCCCCATCCCACGGATGGAAAGTTTATTTTCTTTTATTATTTATTTATTTATTTATTTAGAAATATATCTTTATTGATTTCAGAGAGAGGAAGGGGGAGGGAGAGAGAAACAAACATCAGTGTTGAGAGAGTCATTGATCAGCTGCCTCCTGCACATCCCCAGGGTATGGAGCCCAAAACCCAGGCGTGTGCCCTGACCTGAATCGAACCGCACTCTCCTGGATCATCGATGGATGCTCAACCACTGAGCCACACCTGGCTGGGCTATTTTATTTTTATGTATGTATGTATGCATGTATGCATTTTGTAAAGTGTATTTTCTAGGTAAATTGAAGCAACAGCTCAAAGTCAGAGAAAGGCACAGATGAAGGTTGGGGTGTATGGCAGCAAATAAGGGAATTATGTGAAAAATCTATATCCTTTACTGCAGGAATGTCACCCCTCCTCCCTCATCTTGGCTTTATCAAAGCAGTATCCCTAGAATACCCCTTCTCCATCCCCCCCCCAAACCACACACACGCCCACACACGGAGTCAATCAGAAGAATATTCTCTGAAGAAACGTGTGTTCCCGAGAAAACAAATTTAAGTACTGACATCTAGGCCTTCTCCAAGAAAAGCCCAGGTCACACTGTCTACGACAATAAAATCTACCTGTTGACTAACTCTACCCATACACGGTCTGCTTTTCAGTGCTCATTTGACAGCCAAAGATAACCAGACAAGGAAAGCTTTCTAGATGAAAGAGAAAATCATTTCAGTATACTTTCTGCCCCTTCCCCCACTTTGTTCTTAACCCCCAAAGTAAAATCCCAACTAGACCTTGGAATGCAAACCGTAAGAGGATACATTCTAACGCTGGATTTATGAGCATCTGGGAAGGAAAAGCGTGTCCTAACGGCGGAACCCTCGCTGATGTCCCAAACCTCATCTTAACTTGGAAGGTAGTGTGTTGTCATTTATATCCCGAACTTACGCAGCTGCTGCACAAAACACGAGGGCTCCTCAGGAACCTCGAAACTTAGCGAGGAACCACACAGCCCTTTACTATCAAGTTGCTTAGCAGTACATAAATACCATTTTTTTCCAAGCTGATTGTAAAGTGCCATGTCCTACCTCTAGAAATGATGAGAACTCAGTCCCAGGGCTCTAATCCCAGGTCCTGGCGACGTTGCCACGAAATAGGTCTTCTCCAGCTCCCGCAGGCCCGGAGCAGCGCGTCCGCGGGCCTCGGGCCGCCTCCCGCGTCCCAGGGAGCGGGGCCACCAGAGGCCCTGCGGCGCCAGTCCTCTGAGGAGCGGCCAGGCTCATCCCAGAGACTATCGAAGGTTTTCCAGTCAAAAGCAGCCACCGATTGTTATGTAAAAACCCCCAGCGGTTTGTTTGCCTTCCCTAGTTAAACCTTTGGGTAGGCTGACCCTTTGGCTCCAGGCTCTTTCTCCCAGAGACACCTGGGGAGGCGGGGGTCTGGCCCAATAGGGCAGTAT